GTCTGGGCCATGGGACCGCCCTCCTGTCTTCTCAGGTGGGGGCGATGGCTGGACACCCGTCTCCGGGGTCGTGGGATGGGGTGGGGTCCAGCGGGTGGTAATGAGGCGCGCGGGAGGGGAAGACACGACGAGGAGAAAGTCTCAGCCGGCAAACGTGCTCCCAGAAGGGAGCGGGGGTCCAGCCACAGCAGCCGCAGGCCCCCTGGCCGCGCTCACCCGGGCCGCAGTCTCCGTGCGACGCGCGCACGGACGTACAGGGGGTCCGCGAGGGGCGCCTCTCAGGGCATCGGGAGAGGGCGGCTGGGCAGGAGTCTTACCACCTTTTTTTTTCCGTGATGAAATTCACTTTCCCCCAAATATTAAATGACACACGGACGTTTGGAAGACAAAGCAAATGTAAAACAACGAAAACCGAGAGAATCGCCCATAAGGGCACTACACGGACTACTGGGAAATTTTAGAGGTGTTTTTTTTTCTTTTATCTTTTCAAACATGCTAGGAATATTTTCCTTCGTTTTTAAAAAATATGCATCTAAGTCTATTTCGGTACATGAAGAGTATTTCTCGGTGTAAAATGGGGATAATTTCCTTTTTCTTCATTTTTATCGTAACATTCACATCATATTACTAATTGTGGGACTTTGGGACAAGTTCCTCAATCTCCCTAAGCCCAAATTTGATCATTTAAAGTTTACATATTTTTGAGAGCGAGAGAGCGGGCAGGCACGTGAGGGAGGGAGGGGCAGAGAAAGAGGGAGAAAGAGAGAATTCCAAACGGACTCTGTGCTGTCTGTGCAGTGCCTGACGTGGGGCTCAACCTCAAAAACTGTGAGATCATGACCAGAGCTGAGATCAAGAGTCAGGTGCTTAACCGACTAAGCTAACCAAGCACCCCCCAAATTTTATCATTTAAAAAACCAAGTAGCTCTGCTTCCTCATGGGTCTTCTGTGAACAGTGAGACCCCTCCATGACCTTGAGGGGTCGGGAGTTCCCCATGAGCTCACGCCAGGAGGAGAGCCTGGGCTT